ATCATGGGCTCACGGCTCCACCTTCGGACGAGTCATTTGAGTCCAGTGGTCCATATCCTGAGCTGGTGGGTTGTCTCATGTACCTGATGACCTGTACTCGCCCAGACCTAGCTTACCCTCTTAGCGTCCTTGCGCGCTTTGTTGCGCCTGGGAGACACCGACCTTCCCACTGGTACGCTGCTAAGAGGGTGGCGAAGTATGTGGCGAGTACATCAGGCATGGGACTTGTCCTTGGAGGGAAGCAGCCAGTTACACTCACAGGTTACTCGGACTCGTCGTGGGCCGACGACGCGGAGACGCGTCGGTCTACACAGGGGTACTCCTTTAGCCTCGGGGCAGGTGCTGTTTCGTGGCGGTCGACTCGGGCGTCGTCCGTCGCCGGTTCCAGCTGTGAGGCAGAGGTGTACGCTGTGGCCATGGCCGCTCAGGAGCTTCGCTGGCTGTCTTTCCTTCTCACCGACCTTGGTGAGCGGCCTCGCTCTCCCCCAGTCTTGTTCGCCGACAACAGGTCTGCTGTCCTGTTGTGTGAGGAGCCCCGACTGGTTGGGAAGGCGAAGCACATCCAGCTTTGTTACTTCCTTCTGCGTGAGTTGCAGCAGCGTGGACAGGCACTCGTTCGACGTGTGGTCTCTGAGGCCAACACGGCAGATATCTTCACCAAGGCGTTGCCGCCTTGTGACCACCAGCGTTTCTGCACCCAGCTTGGCCTTGTGCCTGCCCGTCCTCACTTGCTTGCTTAGAGATGCCTTGTCCTGCATGTCTTGTACTCTTGCATCTCTTTATATTTGCTATATATCTGCATGTGGACTGGCCTTGTGGCCCCTTGCTTGCTCTCGGAGTGTGTGGTGACTTTGAGCTCCACCCTGAGATTTGTCTTGTTCTTGTAGTTTGGTCTTGTGACCGTTGCTTGCTCTTGTTGTTTCTACAGGACTTCCGTCACCTAGACTATGGGGGTGTGTCAACATATATTTTATATGTGTTGTTTAGGTTAGTCTAGGTGTTACATTTCTACTTACTTGCATGATTAGGGTTTGCTATATCTAGGGTTGTACTTCACATTTTCTATCAATTCATTCTTATCGTAACAGGAAAGACAGCCAGCGAAGCTCCTGGGCGGCCATGGCCGCAGAGTACACCTCTGCTCACAGTAGGAACTAGAGACAGACGACGCCCGAGTCGACCTCCACGAAACAGCTCCGGTCCCAAGGCTGAAGCAGTAACCCTGTGTAGATCATTGCGACTCTGCGTCGTCGGCCCATGACGAGTCCGAGAAACCTGTAAGTGTAACTGGTTGCTTCCCTCCAAGGACAAGTCCCATGCCTGATGTACTTGCCACATACTTCGCCACCCTCTTAGCAGCGTACCAAAGGGAAGACCGGTGTCTCCCAGACGCAACGAAGCGCGCAAGAACGGCTGCCGGTGCTGGAGGTACTGGAGCTGCTGGTGCTGGAGGTACTACTGTTACTGGAGGTGCTGGAGCTACTGGCACTGGAGGTGCTGGTGCTACTGGTGCTGGAGCTGCGGGAGCTGCTGACCCTGGAGGTGCTGGAGCTACTGGTCCCGGAGGTGCTCGTACTGGAGGTGCTGGAGCTGCCGGAGCAGGTGGTACTGCTGGTGCTGGAGGTGCAGGACGTGCTACTGGAGCTGCTGGCACAGGAGGTACTGGAGGTACTACTGGTGCTGGAGGCGCTGGAGCTGGAGCTGGAGGCACTGGAGGTGCTGGAGGTACTACTGGTGCTTGAGGTGCTGGCGCTGTCGGAGCTCGTGGTGCTGGAGGTGCTGGTGCTACTGGTGTTGGAGGTGTTGCTAGGGGTACTGGAGGAGCTGCTCGTGCTGGAGGTACGGGAGCTACTGGTGCTCTTCGCCACCTTCTCAGTCTTCCGCCAGGTGCTACTGACTTCCCTGTGGCAGGTACTACTCCTCAGTTACTGTTTCCACCGGCGGACCAGTCACAGCCGCCGCTGCTACCGCACTCCCCACTGCCTGCTCCTGCTCCTTACACTGCGGTGTCAGAGTCCCTGACTGAGCGTCGAGAGCCTGAGACTCGTGCGTCCACCCCTGAGCGTCGAGAGCCTGAGCCTAGAGCTGCTGTCCGTGCTCGTGTTCCTCGTGTTCGTCGTCCGCATGCTCCGGCTGTCCCCGGCACTCACGATATGACACTCCGTCCTTCCTCTGTTCCTCAGCGTGTTGTCCTACCGTTACCTCCTGCGTCCTCTATGCCTGCCGTTGCTGACCCTCCGTCTGACCTTGCTCGTGCGTCCAGTCCGACTGTTACTCGCCTTCTTGCTACGGTTGTGACGGACCCTACGTTCTTGTCTCCTGCTGCGTCTGCCCTCGTAGCTGAGCTCGTTGACTTTGCTGCTGTGTACCGCCTAGACTACCTTGCGAGTCTTGTCTCTGACCCTGTCCATGCCTGTCCTCCGTCCGTCGGGGGTAAGACTGCTCTTGGCTGTACTGCCCTTGGCTGTGACGTTCTTGAGGACAGACAGGAGGAGCTGGAGTGCCTTGCTGCCGCTTCACCCCATCATGCGACCATGATGCTTGCCCCTAAGGGAGACCCGGATGCACTTGACATCCCCACCCCGCGCTCCTACAGGGAGGCGATTTCGGGTGAGTACTCCTCTCAGTGGCAGACAGCCATGGACGCAGAGATGGCTTTTGACGAGGTTCCCCCACCTGGGGTGAACATCGTCAGTGGCATGCGGATTTTCAGGGTGAAGCGGCCGCCGGGTTCTCCGCCTGCCTTCAAGGCACGTTACATTGCTCGAGGCTTCAGTCAGCGTGAGGGGGTCGACTTCTTTCAGACCTTCTCCCCCACCCCGAAGATGACCACTCTTCGGGTGTTGCTACACGTTGCAGCTCAGCGTGACTACGAGCTGCACTCCCTCGACTTCTCGACAACTTTCTTGCAGGGTAGCCTTCACGAGGCCATCAGGTTGCGCCGTCCACAGGGCTTCACTGGGTCGTTTCCTGAGGGTACCCAGTGGAGACTACGGCGACCAGTGTACGGCCTGCGTCAGGCGCCGCGTGAGTGGCACGACACACTGAGGACGACACTTGCGGCTCTTGGGTTTGCTCCTTCGACTGCTGACCCGTCGCTGTTTCTACGCACCGACACTACGCTGCCGCCGTTCTACATCCTCGTGTACGTCGACGACTTGGTTTTTGCTACTGCTGACACTGAGGCACTGGCCCTAGTGAAGGCGGAGCTGCAGGAGAGACACACCTGCACTGACCTGGGTGAGCTGCGGAGCTATCTTGGCTTGGAGATCACCCGGGACAGAGCACGGCGCACCATCACCCTGACTCAGTCACACATGGTGCAGCAAGTCCTTCAGCGCTTCCGCTTCACGTGGTCCTCGCCACAGCCCACTCCTCTGTCTACCGGCCACTCGCTCTCAGCTCCACCTTCGGACGAGACCGTAGAGCCGAGTGGTCCATACCCAGAGCTTGTGGGTTGCCTCATGTACCTGATGACGTGCACACGACCTGACCTCGCGTACCCTCTCAGCCTCCTGGCTCGCTACGTGGCACCTGGTAGACACCGAAAGGTGCACTTTGATGCTGCGAAGAGGGTACTGCGTTACTTGTGCAGCACATCCGGCATGGGGCTCGTGCTTGGAGGACGGGGTTCGGTGATCCTCACAGGACACTCTGACGCTTCTTGGGCCGACGACCAGACGACTCAGCGTTCGTCACAGGGTTACACCTTCAGTCTTGGCTCTGGTTTTGTCTCGTGGAGGTCCACTCGTTCTTCTTCTGTGCTTGGTTCCAGCTGTGAGGCCGAGATCTACGCTGGGGCCATGGCTGCACAGGAGCTAAGCTGGCTGACCTACCTGCTGACCGACTTGGGGGAGCGGCCTCGTTCTCCTCCAGTTCTGTACGTCGACAACAAGGCAATGCTTGCCTTGTGTCGCGAGCAGAGACTGGAGCACCGAACGAAGCACATTGCTCTGCGCTACTTTCTTGCACGTGAGCTGCAGCAGCGTGGTCAGCTGCGCCTTGCTTTCATGGCCTCTCGGGCCAACACTGCTGATGTCTTCACCACGGCCCTTGGGTCTGGTGATCATCACCGTTTCTGCACTGCTCTTGGGCTTGTGCCCACTCTGCCTCACCTGCTGGTTGCTCTGAATACCATGTCAGATGTAGGAACGTGAGAATGGTTTACTAGGTAGGAAGAGTGAGTACAAGTACTACCTAACCCTAAAGTGTTGTACCCTTTAGGGTATGCCCCACTACAGCCTACAGAGAACAAATACAATTTGACAAAAACAAGGCCTGAAAAAAAATTACCCTAAGGCAAAAGTGCGACTATCAAAATTCACCTTGATAATTAGGGTATCACGATGATTTACACTAATAAAATTAGCCATGTTTGGAATGTGATGGTAGCAAGGTTCGGAGTGTGATAGCGGCAATGTTTAAGATTTTCTAGTCCCTGTGGTAAACGATTCATGCAAGAACCGACAGGGCGTATCGGTGTATAGCTATCATAGAGTTTGTTAAATAAATAAATAAATCTATAGAAGTTATGATTTTTATATTCACATTTCCTTCCTAATGTGGTGCACTCGTCGATTTTGAATGTTATACTATGTTAATATGTTCGTCGTTTATTGCGAACGTCGCTAAGTCCACCGCTTCACATTCCCCCATCGGATAACCGCATCGCATCATTCTGTAGCAGCAGCGATCCAGCCAACATTCACTAACGGCTTTCGTGGATTTCCTGCTGCTAGGAATCTCGTCCTAGTCGCGCCGCATCGGCGCTTCGCGTCTCGTCGCTCTCCTCCCCGCGCAGCCCCTCTCCATCGTGTTTGGTATATCTAACCACCGCCATTCTTAGCATCGCCATTCTTAGCATCGCCATTCTTAGCATCGCCATTCTTAGCATCGCCATTCTTAGCATCGCCATTCTTAGCATCGCCATTCTTAGCATCGCCATTCTTAGCATCGCCATTCTCAACATCGCTATCTCGTCACTCGCCTGCGGCAGCAGCATGGATTCCAGGCTCGCGCTCTTCGCGCTTCTCCTCGCCGTCGTCCTTGTCTCAGGTTACCTCCTATTACCTTCACCTACCCACCGCGCCTTCTTCTCAAGCTCACCGCTCCCCGTATCGGCGCGCCCCTCCCTCTCGTCCTCTGCGCGCCCCCCCTTTTCGTTCTCTGCGCGACCGTCCTTCTCCGCGTCTGAACGCCCCTTCCTATCCTTATCTGTGTGCGAGCGTGTGTGGCAGCGAGCGCCAAGGTGGAGAAGGACGTCAAGCAGCTGCAGATCGGCGTCAAGGTGAGCGCCGTGCCGTCAAGGTGAGCGCCGTGCCGTCAAGGTGAGCGCCGTGCCGTCAAGGTGAGCGCCGTGCCGTCAAGGTGAGCGCCGTGCCGTCAAGGTGAGCGCCGTGCCGTCAAGGTGAGCGCCGTGCCGTCAAGGTGAGCGCCGTGCCGTCAAGGTGAGCGCCGTGCCGTCAAGGTGAGCGCCGTGCCGTCAAGGTGAGCGCCGTGCCGTCAAGGTGAGCGCCGTGCCGTCAAGGTGAGCGCCGTGCCGTCAAGGTGAGCGCCGTGCCGTCAAGGTGAGCGCCGTGCCGTCAAGGTGAGCGCCGTGCCGTCAAGGTGAGCGCCGCGCCCTCTTGCCCTTACTTTCGGTGCCTCCCGTTCTGCGTTGCAACCCATCCATCTGCTTGCAACCCATCCATCTGCTTGCAACCCATCCATCTGCTTGCAACCCATCCATCTGCTTGCAACCCATCCATCTGCTTGCAACCCATCCATCTGCTTGCAACCCATCCATCTGCTTGCAACCCATCCATCTGCTTGCAACCCATCCATCTGCTTGCAACCCATCCATCTGCTTGCAACCCATCCATCTGCTTGCAACCCATCCATCTGCTTGCAACCCATCCATCTGCTTGCAACCCATCCATCTGCTTGCAACCCATCCATCTGCTTGCAACCCATCCATCTGCTTGCAACCCATCCATCTGCTTGCAACCCATCCATCTGCTTGCAACCCATCCATCTGCTTGCAACCCATCCATCTGCTTGCAACCCATCCATCTGCTTGCAACCCATCCATCTGCTTGCAACCCATCCATCTGCTTGCAACCCATCCATCTGCTTGCAACCCATCCATCTGCTTGCAACCCATCCATCTGCTTGCAACCCATCCATCTGCTTGCAACCCATCCATCTGCTTGCAACCCATCCATCTGCTTGCGCTTTCTCCTGTCTTCTCCTTCTCTTTCTCTTCACTTCGTTCCACTCTCTCCCCTCCCATTCCCGCCTTTCCCCTAACCCCTGCGCGCCCATCGCGTGCTGCGCTCCCCTCATGTGCTGTGCGCGCCTTGCCCTGTACGGTTCCCCCTGAGCGCAGTTCAAGCCGGAGACCTGCAACGCCAAGGCGCGCAACCTCGACACTGTCCGCGTGCACTACAAGGTATCCTCGATATAATGATTCAGTCACGTCACGATTCACTACAAGGTAGTATCGATGTGGATGAATCGCATTGCTCTGCATGTCCTGCCATCTTTCCAAATCCCCTTCCCTCTGCTCGCAACAACCCGGCCACTGCCGCACCATGCATCGCGCTCTGATCCGACCCCCCCTCTCCCCGCTCCCCCTGCCTGCGCGCACCTGTCCCCCCCCCCCAGGGCATGCTGCTGGACGGCAGCGTGTTTGACTCGAGCTACGAGCGCGGCGATCCGCTGCAGTTCCGCCTGGGGCAGGGCAACGTGATCAAGGGTGGGTGGGGGGGCAGGGCAACGTGATCAAGGGTGGGTGGGGGGGCAGGGCAACGTGATCAAGGGTGGATGGGGGGGCAGGGCAACGTGATCAAGGGTGGGTGGGGGGGGCAGGGCAACGTGATCAAGGGTGGGTGGGGGGGCAGGGCAACGTGATCAAGGGTGGGTGGGGGGGCAGGGCAACGTGATCAAGGGTGGGTGGGGGGGCAGGGCAACGTGATCAAGGGTGGGTGGGGGGGCAGGGCAACGTGATCAAGGGTGGGTGGGGGGGGCAGGGCAACGTGATCAAGGGTGGGTGGGGGGGGCAGGGCAACGTGATCAAGGGTGGGTGGGGGGGCAGGGCAACGTGATCAAGGGTGGGTGGGGGGGCAGGGCAACGTGATCAAGGGTGGTTGAAAGCCCTCCTTGGCACGAGATAAAGGAAACTTCCAAGTGCTGTTGAGCGTGCTTCTCTGTGCACTGCTACCCCTCGTGCGCCCCACCTTGCCTGCGTGCGTGACCCTATCCTCCCCTTAGTTCAACGCCACCATGCCCACACGCTAGGATGTTCCCACCACAGCGTGCAAGGGGAGCTTGTGCACGCCCAACATCCCTCCCTCCACTCTGCATGTGCCCCTGCCCTCGCCTCTCCCACGCACTGACCTCCTGCTATGTTTTCCTCCCCCCCTCCTTCCCCCCCACTTCCCATTGACCCGCGGAGCAGGGTGGGACATGGGCATTCTGGGCATGTGTGTGGGCGAGAAGCGCAAGCTCAAGATCCCCGCACACATGGGCTACGGCGAGTCGGGCTCGCCGCCCAAGATTCCCGGTGTGCTCATGGTTTAGTTACTCCCCCCCCCTCCGGCCACTCCCCGTCCCGCCACTTCCCCTCGTGCCATGCCACTCCCCCTCTTCCCACCCCCCCTGTCTGCATGCTCTGCTCACCATGGGCCAGCGGAACCTGCCAGCACAGCCATGGGACGATCAAGGGGGGATGCGTGTGGGTGATGAGGACGGGGGCTGTGCCATGCATGGGTGATAAAGGCAGCAGGGAGGAAGATAGAGGAGGCTTCTAAGAAATAATTACACGCACCAGACGAATTGGGAGCGATGGGCCCACATCGCTCGCACGCTGGGCAGCATGTTCAGGCAGATGAAATATATCCTGCTGCCTGCCGTGCTTAGGTATTGTGTGATGAGGAAATGCATCCACACGGCAAGCACCCCCAGGAGCCCAAGAAACTTCACATGCAGCCATGCACTGTTCTGCAGGGGGCACGGAGGGTGGGATGGATTGGAGATGAACGAAGGTCAAATGGGGATGGATGGAGGGGATAAAGGAAGGTAAGTGGATGGAAGGGAAGGAAAGATATGGGAGTGGAAGGACGTAGCAGGAAATGGAAAGTGAAATGGAGGGGAGTGAAAGGGAGTGAGAGGAACGGGAGTGTAAGGAGGGATGCATGAAAGAAGGGATGCATGAAAGAAGGGATGCATGAAAGAAGGGATGCATGAAAGAAGGGATGCATGAAAGAAGGGATGCATGAAAGAAGGGATGCATGAAAGAAGGGATGCATGAAAGAAGGGATGCATGAAAGAAGGGATGCATGAAAGAAGGGATGCATGAAAGAAGGGATGCATGAAAGAAGGGATGCATGCAAGAAGGGATGCATGAAAGAAGGGATGCATGAAAGAAGGGATGCATGAAAGAAGGGATGCATGAAAGAAGGGATGCATGAAAGAAGGGATGCATGAAAGAAGGGATGCACGAAAGAAGGGATGCACGAAAGAAGGGATGCACGAAAGAAGGGATGCACGAAAGAAGGGATGCACGAAAGAAGGGATGCACGAAAGAAGGGATGCACGAAAGAAGGGATGCACGAAAGAAGGGATGCACGAAAGAAGGGATGCATGAAAGAAGGGATGCATGAAAGAAGGGATGCATGAAAGAAGGGATGCATGAAAGAAGGGATGCATGAAAGAAGGGATGCATGAAAGAAGGGATGCATGAAAGAAGGGATGCATGAAAGAAGGGATGCATGAAAGAAGGGATGCATGAAAGAAGGGATGCATGAAAGAAGGGATGCATGAAAGAAGGGATGCATGAAAGAAGGGATGCATGAAAGAAGGGATGCATGAAAGAAGGGATGCATGAAAGAAGGGATGCATGAAAGAAGGGATGCATGAAAGAAGGGATGCACGAAAGAAGGGATGCACGAAAGAAGGGATGCATGAAAGAAGGGATGCACGAAAGAAGGGATGCACGAAAGAAGGGATGCACGAAAGAAGGGATGCACGAAAGAAGGGATGCACGAAAGAAGGGATGCACGAAAGAAGGGATGCACGAAAGAAGGGATGCACGAAAGAAGGGATGCATGAAAGAAGGGATGCATGAAAGAAGGGATGCATGAAAGAAGGGATGCATGAAAGAAGGGATGCATGAAAGAAGGGATGCATGAAAGAAGGGATGCATGAAAGAAGGGATGCATGAAAGAAGGGATGCATGAAAGAAGGGATGCATGAAAGAAGGGATGCATGAAAGAAGGGATGCATGAAAGAAGGGATGCATGAAAGAAGGGATGCATGAAAGAAGGGATGCATGAAAGAAGGGATGCATGAAAGAAGGGATGCATGAAAGAAGGGATGCATGAAAGAAGGGATGCATGAAAGAAGGGATGCATGAAAGAAGGGATGCATGAAAGAAGGGATGCATGAAAGAAGGGATGCATGAAGAAGGGATGCATGGAAGAAGGGATGCATGAAAGAAGGGATGCATGAAAGAAGGGATGCATGAAAGAAGGGATGCATGAAAGAAGGGATGCATGAAAGAAGGGATGCATGAAAGAAGGGATGCATGAAAGAAGGGATGCATGAAAGAAGGGATGCATGAAAGAAGGGATGCATGAAAGAAGGGATGCATGAAAGAAGGGATGCATGAAAGAAGGGATGCATGAAAGAAGGGATGCATGAAAGAAGGGATGCATGAAAGAAGGGATGCATGAAAGAAGGGATGCATGAAAGAAGGGATGCATGAAAGAAGGGATGCATGAAAGAAGGGATGCATGAAAGAAGGGATGCATGAAAGAAGGGATGCATGAAAGAAGGGATGCATGAAAGAAGGGATGCATGGAAGGCCCCACTCACCAGCTGCCCCACTCACCAGCTGCCCTACTCACCAGCTGCCCCACTCACCAGCTGCCACAGGGGGACTGGCAGCGACCCGTTGTCAACCATGGCGCTGGTGAGGCCGGTGAGCAGGGGCGTTGGGGCGAGGGGCACAGGGAGGACGGAGGTCGGGAAGCAGGTGAGGCGACGAGGTTGGCACATGCGAACAGGTGGCAGGGGGACAGCTGGCAGGGGGACAGGTGGCAGGGGGACAGCTGGCAGAGGGACAGCTGGCAGGGGGACAGCTGGCAGGGGGACGCAATTGCAACACAGACAGTGGGGCGTCACATAACGATGAGCAGCGCAGGGAGTGGTTCAGTGCAGTGCAGCTCCCGGTACATCGGGCTGCATTTTCAGCCCACAACCACTTGAAACAGCTCCAGTTTCTTCTTCACATTCCTCATCCGCTTCCACCCACTGCCCACACCTTACTCCGCATCCCCCTGCAATGTCTCTTCCCTTCCACCACCTCTGTCACGTGTGTTTGTGTTTCCAGGAGCACCCAAGCGCTTCTCCAGCAAGGCATTCAGATCGGCAGCTGGACCGTCCAAACCAAAAGCGCCTCCGACGGGCCTTGGGGGGTGGCGAGGCTTGGGAAGCAGCAGGCGCAGCCTGAATGCCACAGCAGGCGCAGCCTGAATGCCACAGCAGGCGCAGCCTGAATGCCACAGCAGGCGCAGCCTGAATGCCACAGCAGGCGCAGCCTGAATGCCACAGCAGGCGCAGCCTGAATGCCACAGCAGGCGCAGCCTGAATGCCACAGCAGGCGCAGCCTGAATGCCACAGCAGGCGCAGCCTGAATGCCACAGCAGGCGCAGCCTGAATGCCACAGCAGGCGCAGCTTACTTTGATGAAGACATGGGGCGTCTGGGCAAGGCAGCATGCACTCACCAGGTTTTTCAAAAAGCACCTGATACCTCCACGCGTGGCGCACCTGATAGCACAGATCACCTGAGAGCACAGATCACCTGAGAGCACAGATCACCTGAGAGCACAGATCACCTGAGAGCACAGATCACCTGAGAGCACAGATCACCTGAGAGCACAGATCACCTGAGAGCACAGATCACCTGAGAGCACAGATCACCTGAGAGCACAGATCACCTGAGAGCACAGATCACCTGATAGCACAGATCACCTGAGAGCACAGATCACCTGAGAGCACAGATCACCTGAGAGCACAGATCACCTGAGTGCACAGATCACCTGAGAGCACAGATCACCTGAGAGCACAGATCACCTGATAGCACAGATCACCTGAGAGCACAGATCACCTGATAGCACAGATCACCTGAGAGCACAGATCACCTGAGAGCACAGATCACCTGATAGCACAGATCACCTGATAGCACAGATCACCTGATAGCACAGATCACCTGAGAGCACAGATCACCTGAGAGCACAGATCACCTGAGAGCACAGATCACCTGAGAGCACAGATCACCTGATAACACAGATCACCTGATAGCACAGATCACCTGAGAGCACAGATCACCTGATAGCACAGATCACCTGAGTGCACAGATCACCTGATAGCACAGATCACCTGAGAGGACAGATCACCTGATAGCACAGATCACCTGAGAGCACAGATCACCTGAGAGCACAGATCACCTGAGAGCACAGATCACCTGAGAGCACAGATCACCTGAGAGCACAGATCACCTGAGAGCACAGATCACCTGATAGCACAGATCACCTGAGAGCACAGATCACCTGAGAGCACAGATCACCTGAGAGCACAGATCACCTGATAGCACAGATCACCTGAGTGCACAGATCACCTGAGAGCACAGATCACCTGAGAGCACAGATCACCTGATAGCACAGATCACCTGAGTGCACAGATCACCTGAGAGCACAGATCACCTGAGAGCACAGATCACCTGAGAGCACAGATCACCTGAGAGCACAGATCACCTGAGAGCACAGATCACCTGAGAGCACAGATCACCTGAGAGCACAGATCACCTGATAGCACAGATCACCTGAGAGCACAGATCACCTGATAGCACAGATCACCTGAGTGCACAGATCACCTGAGAGCACAGATCACCTGAGAGCACAGATCACCTGAGAGCACAGATCAACCTGAGAGCACAGATCACCTGAGAGCACAGATCACCTGAGAGCACAGATCACCTGATAGCACAGATCACCTGAGTGCACAGATCACCTGAGAGCACAGATCACCTGAGAGCACAGATCACCTGAGAGCACAGATCACCTGAGAGCACAGATCACCTGAGAGCACAGATCACCTGAGTGCACAGATCACCTGAGAGCACAGATCACCTGAGAGCACAGATCACCTGAGAGCACAGATCACCTGATAGCACAGATCACCTGAGTGCACAGATCACCTGAGAGCACAGATCACCTGAGAGCACAGATCACCTGAGAGCACAGATCACCTGAGAGCACAGATCACCTGAGAGCACAGATCACCTGAGAGCACAGATCACCTGAGAGCACAGATCACCTGAGAGCACAGATCACCTGAGAGCACAGATCACCTGAGAGCACAGATCACCTGAGAGCACAGATCACCTGATAGCACAGATCACCTGAGTGCACAGATCACCTGAGAGCACAGATCACCTGAGAGCACAGATCACCTGAGAGCACAGATCACCTGAGAGCACAGATCACCTGAGAGCACAGATCACCTGAGAGCACAGATCACCTGAGAGCACAGATCACCTGATAGCACAGATCACCTGAGAGCACAGATCACCTGATAGCACAGATCACCTGAGAGCACAGATCACCTGAGAGCACAGATCACCTGAGAGCACAGATCACCTGAGAGCACAGATCACCTGATAGCACAGATCACCTGAGTGCACAGATCACCTGAGAGCACAGATCACCTGAGAGCACAGATCACCTGAGAGCACAGATCACCTGAGAGCACAGATCACCTGAGAGCACAGATCACCTGAGAGCACAGATCACCTGAGAGCACAGATCACCTGAGAGCACAGATCACCTGAGAGCACAGATCACCTGAGAGCACAGATCACCTGATAGCACAGATCACCTGAGTGCACAGATCACCTGAGAGCACAGATCACCTGAGAGCACAGATCACCTGAGAGCACAGATCACCTGAGAGCACAGATCACCTGATAGCACAGATCACCTGAGAGCACAGATCACCTGAGAGCACAGATCACCTGAGAGCACAGATCACCTGAGAGCACAGATCACCTGAGAGCATGGCTGATGGCGCGGTGGTTGGGATGGCCCGACACACCCCAGGCATCGAATGTTAGGAGCTGCACGGCAGACCGGATCCCCAGGGGAATGGATGGAGGGGAAAGAAGGGACTAAGAAGGCCAGAAGTTTCCCCAGGCGAGCAAGGAGAGCATCTGATCTGAGGGGCAGAGGGGAGGATGGGAGGAGCGAGGTGTGCGAGGTGGGCAGAGTGCGGAGGGAAGGACACATACCTCACATCACATCCCCCATTCCTCCCCATACCCCATCCCTCACATCCCAACCCCCAACCCCCATACCCCATCCCCCACATCCCATCGTTGCTCCCACCGTTTTTATTTGGTGCCTTTTTACAAAGTCAGAGACCAAGCCGGCAATTACATCCGACGGCCAGGATTGGTCCATGCCATCCTGCAGATCAACGGTGAAGAGAGACGGGGGAGTGAGGGTGCAGAAGAAGGATTGGCGGATGGCTAATGCTGCAACGTGGATGAAAGGATGTGTGCTTTGCACTCCCATCTGCCCAGCTCGCTTCTTTCCGCCCCACTCCCTTCCTCTCCTCACCCACGTCAACCCATCCCCTCACCGCCCTCACCCGCCCCTCACCTCCCGCACTCACTCCTCACTCGCCCCTCAGCGCACCTGCAGCTGCGGATGGTCCACCACCTCCACGCACTGCTGGGCTATCTGCGCGCCACAGAGAGGGGGGAGAGAGGGCGAGGCAAAGGGAGGGGGGAGGGGGGGAAGGGGGGATGCTTTGAGGTGAGGAGGGTGCGGTGAGGGGAGTGACTGTAGAGGAGAACAAAGGGGTGTGAGTGAGAACAGAGAAGCAAAGGGGAAGGAAGATGAGGATGGGATGGGGTGGATGGAATCGGAGAAAATGGGTTGGGATGGGGAGTGACTGGGCCTCTTTCCAACCCAAGCCTCTCTCTACCCCAATCTTCTCTCTAACCCGAGCCTGTCTCTTACCTCTCTCCCTGCCTAACTCTACCCCAAACCTGTCTCTACCCCGAGGCTTGCCGCTGCTGCCTTCAGCTCCGCCCTGCGCGTGCTGCCCAGCCCCTCCGCGTTGCCTGCCGGGACCAGTTGGTGGGGCGCGGAGGGAGAGAGAGGGGGGGGAAGACTGTTGAGAGGCGGAAAGAATGCGACATTCCGTTGCAGCGAGGGGCCGGGGGTAGAGCGCAAGCATTTGGGCTTCTGATTCACCTCTGCATTGCCCAGTAGCGCACACGGCGTAGGGGATGCGCGAGATAATAGGGGGTGGCGCGGCACAGACAGAGGAGAGGGGAGTCAACGGCAGAGAGGAGAGTCAACGGCAGAGAGGAGAGTCAACGGCAGAGAGGAGAGTCAACGGCAGAGAGGAGAGTCAACGGCAGAGAGGAGAGCCAATGGCAGAGAGGAAAAGCACGGCGGGCAGAGGATGGCACCTGAGGAGAGGCAGAGGATGGCACCTGAGGAGAGGCAGAGGATGGCACCTGAGGAGAGGCAGAGGAGGGCACCTGAGGAGAGGCAGAGGATGGCACCTGAGGAGAGGCAGAGGATGGCACCTGAGGAGAGGCAGAGGAGGGCACCTGAGGAGAGGCAGAGGATGGCACCTGAGGAGAGGCAGAGGAGGGCACCTGAGGAGAGGCAGAGGATGGCACCTGAGGAGAGGCAGAGGAGGGCACCTGAGGAGAGGCAGAGGAGGGCACCTGAGGAGAGGCAGAGGATGGCACCTGAGGAGAGGCAGAGGATGGCACCTGAGGAGAGGCAGAGGAGGGCACCTGAGGAGAGGCAGAGGATGGCACCTGAGGAGAGGCAGAGGAGGGCACCTGAGGAGAGGCAGAGGATGGCACCTGAGGAGAGGCAGAGGATGGCACCTGAGGAGAGGCAGAGGAGGGCACCTGAGGAGAGGCAGAGGAGGGCACCTGAGGAGAGGCAGAGGAGGGCACCTGAGGAGAGGCAGAGGATGGCACCTGAGGAGAGGCAGAGGAGGGCACCTGAGGAGAGGCAGAGGATGGCACCTGAGGAGAGGCAGAGGATGGCACCTGAGGAGAGGCAGAGGAGGGCACCTGAGGAGAGGCAGAGGAGGGCACCTGAGGAGAGGCAGAGGAGGGCACCTGAGGAGAGGCAGAGGAGGGCACCTGAGGAGAGGCAGAGGAGGGCACCTGAGGAGAGGCAGAGGATGGCACCTGAGGAGAGGCAGAGGAGGGCACCTGAGGAGAGGCAGAGGATGGCACCTGAGGAGAGGCAGAGGAGGGCACCTGAGGAGAGGCAGAGGAGGGCACCTGAGGAGAGGCAGAGGATGGCACCTGAGGAGAGGCAGAGGAGGGCACCTGAGGAGAGGCAGAGGAGGGCACCTGAGGAGAGGCAGAGGATGGCACCTGAGGAGAGGCAGAGGAGGGCACCTGAGGAGAGGCAGAGGATGGCACCTGAGGAGAGGCAGAGGAGGGCACCTGAGGAGAGGCAGAGGAGGGCACCTGAGGAGAGGCAGAGGAGGGCACCTGAGGAGAGGCAGAGGACGGCACCTGAGGAGAGGCAGAGGAGGGCACCTGAGGAGAGGCAGAGGAGGGCACCTGAGGAGAGGCAGAGTATGGCACCTGAGGAGAGGCAGAGGAGGGCACCTGAGGAGAGGCAGAGGATGGCACCTGAGGAGAGGCAGAGGAGGGCACCTGAGGAGAGGCAGAGGAGGGCACCTGAGGAGAGGCAGAGGATGGCACCTGAGGAGAGGCAGAGGAGGGCACCTGAGGAGAGGCAGAGGAGGGCACCTGAGGAGAGGCAGAGGATGGCACCTGAGGAGAGGCAGAGGATGGCACCTGAGGAGAGGCAGAGGATGGCACCTGAGGAGAGGCAGAGGAGGGCACCTGAGGAGAGGCAGAGGAGGGCACCTGAGGAGAGGCAGAGGATGGCACCTGAGGAGAGGCAGAGGATGGCACCTGAGGAGAGGCAGAGGATGGCACCTGAGGAGAGGCAGAGGATGGCACCTGAGGAGAGGCAGAGGATGGCACCTGAGGAGAGGCAGAGGAGGGCACCTGAGGAGAGGCAGAGGATGGCACCTGCGGAGAGGCAGAGGAGGGCACCTGAGGAGAGGCAGAGGATGGCACCTGAGGAGAGGCAGAGGAGGGCACCTGAGGAGAGGCAGAGGATGGCACCTGAGGAGAGGCAGAGGATGGCACCTGAGGAGAGGCAGAGGATGGCACCTGAGGAGAGGCAGAGGATGGCACCTGAGGAGAGGCAGAGGATGGCACCTGAGGAGAGGCAGAGGATGGCACCTGAGGAGAGGCAGAGGAGGGCACCTGAGGAGAGGCAGAGGATGGCACCTGAGGAGAGGCAGAGGATGGCACCTGAGGAGAGGCAGAGGAGGGCACCTGAGGAGAGGCAGAGGATGGCACCTGAAGAGAGGCAGAGGAGGGCACCTGAGGAGAGGCAGAGGATGGCACCTGAGGAGAGGCAGAGGAGGGCACCTGAGGAGAGGCAGAGGAGGGCACCTGAGGAGAGGCAGAGGAGGGCACCTGAGGAGAGGCAGAGGAGGGCACCTGAGGAGAGGCAGAGGAGGGCACCTGAGGAGAGGCAGAGGATGGCACCTGAGGAGAGGCAGAGGAGGGCACCTGAGGAGAGGCAGAGGATGGCACCTGAGGAGAGGCAGAGGAGGGCACCTGAGGAGAGGCAGAGGAGGGCACCTGAGGAGAGGCAGAGGATGGCACCTGAGGAGAGGCAGAGGAGGGCACCTGAGGAGAGGCAGAGGAGGGCACCTGAGGAGAGGCAGAGGATGGCACCTGAGGAGAGGCAGAGGATGGCACCTGAGGAGAGGCAGAGGATGGCACCTGAGGAGAGGCAGAGGAGGGCACCTGAGGAGAGGCAGAGGAGGGCACCTGAGGAGAGGCAGAGGATGGCACCTGAGGAGAGGCAGAGGATGGCACCTGAGGAGAGGCAGAGGATGGCACCTGAGGAGAGGCAGAGGATGGCACCTGAGGAGAGGCAGAGGATGGCACCTGAGGAGAGGCAGAGGAGGGCACCTGAGGAGAGGCAGAGGATGGCACCTGCGGAGAGGCAGAGGAGGGCACCTGAGGAGAGGCAGAGGATGGCACCTGAGGAGAGGCAGAGGAGGGCACCTGAGGAGAGGCAGAGGATGGCACCTGAGGAGAGGCAGAGGATGGCACCTGAGGAGAGGCAGAGGATGGCACCTGAGGAGAGGCAGAGGATGGCACCTGAGGAGAGGCAGAGGATGGCACCTGAGGAGAGGCAGAGGATGGCACCTGAGGAGAGGCAGAGGAGGGCACCTGAGGAGAGGCAGAGGATGGCACCTGAGGAGAGGCAGAGGATGGCACCTGAGGAGAGGCAGAGGAGGGCACCTGAGGAGAGGCAGAGGATGGCACCTGAAGAGAGGCAGAGGAGGGCACCTGAGGAGAGGCAGAGGAGGGCACCTGAGGAGAGGCAGAGGATGGCACCTGAGGAGAGGCAGAGGATGGCACCTGAGGAGAGGCAGAGGAGGGCACCTGAGGAGAGGCAGAGGAGGGCACCTGAGGAGAGGCAGAGGAGGGCACCTGAGGAGAGGCAGAGGATGGCACCTGAGGAGAGGCAGAGGATGGCACCTGAGGAGAGGCAGAGGATGGCACCTGAGGAGAGGCAGAGGAGGGCACCTGAGGAGAGGCAGAGGATGGCACCTGAGGAGAGGCAGAGGAGGGCACCTGAGGAGAGTCAGAGGAGGGCACCTGAGGAGAGGCAGAGGATGGCACCTGAGGAGAGGCAGAGGAGGGCACCTGAGGAGAGGCAGAGGAGGGCACCTGAGGAGAGGCAGAGGATGGCACCTGAGGAGAGGCAGAGGATGGCACCTGAGGAGAGGCAGAGGATGGCACCTGAGGAGAGGCAGAGGAGGGCACCTGAGGAGAGGCAGAGGAGGGCACCTGAGGAGAGGCAGAGGATGGCACCTGAGGAGAGGCAGAGGATGGCACCTGAGGAGAGGCAGAGGATGGCACCTGAGGAGAGGCAGAGGATGGCACCTGAGGAGAGGCAGAGGATGGCACCTGAGGAGAGGCAGAGGAGGGCACCTGAGGAGAGGCAGAGGATGGCACCTGCGGAGAGGCAGAGGAGGGCACCTGAGGAGAGGCAGAGGATGGCACCTGAGGAGAGGCAGAGGAGGGCACCTGAGGAGAGGCAGAGGATGGCACCTGAGGAGAGGCAGAGGATGGCACCTGAGGAGAGGCAGAGGATGGCACCTGAGGAGAGGCAGAGGATGGCACCTGAGGAGAGGCAGAGGAGGGCACCTGAGGAGAGGCAGAGGATGTGCAGGGCGCAGCGCGCGCCGTGCTGCGTCGAGTCTGCTTGTGGCAGCGCCGTGGACGACACGAGCTGCTGCACCGCGGAGGGCTGCGCGACCAGCGCGCGCAGCGTGGGCACGAAGAACCTGCGCGTGCGGGGGGGTGGCGGAGGGAAGGGGGGAGCGCAGGAGAGAGCGAAAGAGAGGAGGGCAGCGGAGAAGGGAGATATGGACGGAAGTGAAATGCGGAGGTGAGAATAGGGAGGGCGGATGGCGGGGAGAGAGGCAGGGTAGCAGCGCGCGGCTATGGCGGCAGGAGCGGCGGGTGATCGCGGCGGGCGAGGAGGGCGGAGACGAGGCGAGGTTAGGCGAGGCGAGGCGGGGTGCAAGAGAGGCGTGCGAGGACTGGGAGGCGAGGAGCCGGAGAGGCGGGGAGGCGGGAAGGCGGGGAGGTGGGGAGGCGGGGAGGCGGGGAGGCGGGGCGGCGGGGCGGCGGGGAGGCGGGGCGGCGGGGAGGCGGGGAGGCGGAGAGGCGGGGCGGCGGGGCGGCGGGGAGGCGGAGAGGCGGGGAGGCGGAGAGGCGGGGCGGCGGGGAGGCGGGGCGGCGGGGAGGCGGGGAGGCGGAGAGGCGGGGAGGCGGGGCGCACATGGACTCGTCGTCGGGGTGCGCGATCACGAGCCCCGCCGCCACCTCCTCGCACCTCGCCGCGCCGCTGCCTCCTTGCCTCCCCGCATCCCGCGCTGCCTCGCTGCTCGCCATGGCGGGTGATGGAGTCAGCCGGGTGGAAGGCTGCTCCACCTGTGGTGATATGCTGAAGACCTCGTACGCGTTAGTAGGTACACGCGCAGTGCGTAAGAACTGATGCTGTTTCTAGCCGCCAAAAGTTAATAGCTAGAGAAATGGGTAGAGCAAGGTGCGATGTAAGGAAAAATCCAGGGAATGCGATGTAGTAAGGTGCGATGTAAGGAGTTGGACGCGTTGGAGTAAGGGGTAGCGTTGTACGCGTTGGAGTAAGGGGTAGCGTTGTACGCGATGGAGTAAGGTGCGATATATGGAAAGTCAATTTAAATCATACACAACTTTCAACATGCAATGCGATCTGGGAAGCGAGTCCCTGCTCAACGCGAATTGCGCTTGCCGGACAATTATTCGGCCGCCATAAGCTTCACTTCCACGACACGGAAACCTCTGGTAACTCCGTTTCGGTCCCAGAAGTTGGTTTTCGCCTGCAAGCGGTGCAGGCATCGACTTCGCGATCTCTTCGCTAGAACCACACCGACGCGGCGCGTGAGCATACGAGCAAGACACGGAGGGCCACTCGCTGTCGCCACCAATAATTTCGTTGCCTTCAACTCAAACAAAACGGGATGGAATCTGGGTTGGACGGTGATTGCTGCTTTGATGCGACTGACGTTTCCTTGCTTTCGAAAAAGCATCTCTGAACTGCCTTCAGTTCAGACATTTGTGACGCCTCCACAGGAACGTCGCTGCCACTGCCGTGTTTCTTGGCCTTGCTCCACCTTGGTGTTCGCGACCAGCTGACAGACGTCCATCGTACGCCTGTGCATCGAAACGCTCCCGCCTTACCTTTCGGTTTTCCGTGCCAGCTTGCCAGTTCACGCAGCTCCAATACCAGTCGAGCTCGGCACCGAAGAATATCAACTAGGTCGAGAGACTAGGCTCGCAAGTCGCGTATCCCTTTAGTGCGGTTCGATTTCTCCCTACCTTCACTAATCACAGAGGTAGAGGACCAAAATGGCTTGCGACTCGGATAAAAAATTCTCCCCGGAGCGGATTGCATGGCTCTTCGCATCGCTCGCGCTGGTCGGCCTGCGGCCAGCATTCGTGCTCGCGGCCACCGATCCCGCTCACGGTAATTCTCGTCGTCAAATACGGATCGTTCTCGGCTTGGAATGCGTTTCCAATCGATCGCACCTTCGTCGTCCCCCGTTTTTTGGCGTCGTCTGCGGCAGCGAGCGCCTGTCGTCTTCGTCCACGTCACGCGCGCTGTTTATCAAGCGGGAAAACAGGCAGAATATTAGACCAGTAATCTTCCGCCTCAGATTTCTTGGATTCACTACCATTCCCTCCCACAGCGCTCGCAATCTGTTTTCCAACGCGCGCTCGCAACCCTGCCCCGGCTACTCCTCATTCTCTTCGAGCCGATCCCACCACGCAGCCCCCCCCCCAACCCCCCTCCCCGATTCCCTTCGTCCACTCGCAACCTCCATTTCCCAGTTTTCAGCGTTCCGAACGCAGCGGCGATCCACGTCTCTCAGCGGCGTGCGAACCCACCTTCTGTATGGTACAGAAAATGGCCGCGCTGCCCCCCACACACGTTAATCGTATCTATCCCCTCCCCTGCCCCGCCCGCGCTCCTCTCCCGCCCTCCGCCCAACCCCCCGCGCCCCACAGTGGCGGCGCTGCGGCAGGTGGCGGCGGCAGTGGGGCGACCTGACGAGCCGCCGTTCAATTCGTGGGCGGGCGACGACCCGTGCGGGCCGGACGCGCAGAGCTCGTGGGCGGGCGTGCGGTGCAACGCGGGCGGGACGTACAACGTGGTGGCGGAGCTGTGAGTCCCGCGGGGGGGGGGACGAGAAAGGGGGGGGGGGGCGCGGGTGTGGCCTTGATGGGGGTCTGCGCTGTGTCGGCGGAGGGCCTTACTACACGCGATGCTCCACCGTTTGCCATCATAGGTGGTGGAATTCGTGTGACGCGGGGGATTCGGAGTGGGTGCGGCGTGCGCTCCAATGAGTGCCAAACCCCGGCTGTCTGTGCCCGTGTTACGTTGAGCATGAGCGCGTGTGTGCATGCGCGGCAGGGCGTCAGCGACGACCATAAGTCAGGGGCGACGGGGAGGGTGAGGCATAGGGCACGGGATGGAAAGGGGGTTTGTAAGAGTGCGCGCCAGCACTACCCGTTCACTCCGCAAAGGCAGCTTTCTCACACCCTCCCAGCGGCTTACCTCCACTCGCCCTTTCCCAAACACTCTCGACGGTTCCCCATCCCTCCCTCACCCTCATCAGTCATCTCCACCCCTGCATTCTCCCTTTTCGCCCCGTCTCCCCACCTCTCCCCCTTCCCTCTCCTCCCCCTCTCCCCCCCAACCGCCTCGTCCCCTCCCCCCCACAGCGATCTACAGGACGCGCGTCTCACGGGCGATCTGCCCGCCGCCGTCTTCGATCTCACCGCGCTGCGCTTGCTGTCAGTCCCGCCGCCCGCGCCCTCCTCGTCCTCCCACCCCCTGGAACCGCCTTCTCCTCGTCGCCCCGCTGTTCCCACTCGCTCACGCCACTTGCACGTTGCCCGATGGGTCCCAGATAGTCACAAAGGGTCCCAGATAGTCACAAAGGGCCCCCAGGAGGCCTCAAGAGTCCTCGAGAGTCACGCACACATCACCCCTTCCATCCGCCTCCCACACACTGCACGCATCACACAGCCAGCTGCCACGGCATTGCTACACACACACCCTACCGCCAACCGCTCGCCTTCCCACTCACCCTCACACTCGCCTCCTTTGGCCTCCCCTTGCCACTCTTCCTGTGCCCCCCGCGCCCCCCCTGGCAGCAATCTGGCGCTGAACCCGAAGCTCACAGGCAGCCTGCCGGACGCCCTTGGCAACCTCGCCCACCTCACGCTGCTGTGAGTGCTCTTAGGCACGCGCCACCCCCTGTGTGCGCTGCTGTGAGTGTCATGCGCACTGCCCTTGCGGTAAGCACTCGCGCGCATCCTTCCCATGCCCATCATCTGCCCTCCTTCGACATGCTCTCCCCTCCCCACTCCCTCCCCACTCCCTCCCCACTCCCTCCCCACTCCCTCCCCACGGGAGCAGTTTAGCAGGGTCCCTCCCAACCCGCCCTGTGCTGTACCTCCCTCCCCTTCCCCGTGCCCCCCTCCCCGTGCATCCCCTGCCCTCCTCCCCCACTCCCCCTCCTCCCCCACTCCCCCTCCTCCCCTCCCCACCCAGCGACGTGCACGGGTGCAACCTCACAGGCTCCATCCCAGCCACAGTGGGGCGCCTGGCGAGCCTCAAGTTCTTTCTGGTCAACCGTAACCACCTCTCGGGGCCCCTTCACACCCGCCCTCTGCTCTACCTCCCCCTTCCTGTGCTCCCCCTCCCCGTGCACCCACCCATGCACCCCGTGCCCGCCTCTCGTCTCCCCTCCTCCCCCCACCCAGCGACGTGCACGGGTGCAACCTCACAGGGTCCATCCCATCCACAGTGGGGCGGTTGGCGAGCCTGCGGTTCTTCCTGGCGAACCAGAACGGGCTGTCGGGGTCCATCCCATCCACCGTGAGCGCCATGCAGCGGCTGTACATGTGGGACATCATGGACAACCGCATCGAGGGGGTCGTGCCCTCCTTTGTGGGCGCCAACGAGCTCGGTCACCTGTGC